GTTTTTAAATTTATTCATGGGACTCAATCACCTTTCCCATCTTGTGGAACACAGACACACACACACACACACACATGCTCACTTTGTGAGAAATTTTAAAGAAAAACGTGAGCAATTAATAGTCCTACTTTAGTAGGAGAAAGACAAACTGAAAAGTTCTTGCTTTGTCCCTCTGAACAGGTACACTGAGTATTAATTTATTTTGCATACCTTGAGAGAATGGAGAATGTGGTAACATATTGTTACTAATGCTACATCCTAGCTTAAGAAACACAGATTTTAATACTGCCAATACCGAGGTGAAATGGGGATTTAGCACGCACTAAGGCTGACAAAGATGTCTGTATTTCTCCTTAAGATCTGACAGTAGCTTCTCAACAAGACTTACTGAAGGCAGAATGTCCACCTGCCTCCTGTTTCATTGGTGTTTTTGACCACAGAATTCTTGGCTCTCAAAGGGGAGAGTGAGAAATTAAGCCAACTGCTCTAAGCTTCACCGTTCAGACCTTTACCTCTGCATGTGCTCTCCAACCCAGACTCTTAGATGAAACTTTGGTACAGCTGTCCTCTTTGGACAGGAAATAACTTATTCCCTCCTCCCATCTGCACATCTCCTCTATGGCTCAGGATCATTCCCTGAGCAGCTGTACCTCAGTGCCAACTTCAAGGACCAACCACACCTATCTCTTTGTAAGGCAAAGTCAGTATCTGCTGGGGCAGGACTCACAGATGAGGCTGGGAAGCAGATCCCAGGGGAATCTAACCCTGGGATCTGCTCACAGGACAGACCTCCTCTGAGACCAGACAGAATTCACATTACAAGGACAATTATTCCCATTCAAGTGCACAGTTCTCACAGGAACTTATCTTTTCCCCTTCTCTCTCTCTTCTGTCTAAAAAATTATTTGGAAAAAGATGATTTTCTGTTCCAAAGGAGGCTTATGACATTGCTTCTGACCACTGACGTGATTTTTAATAGCATCTCTTTTCCTATTTACTTGCAACAAGATGTAGCCTGAATATCTTTTCTTTTGAAGAAAAGACATTTGAAGTAAATACATATATGGATGAACAGATAATTCAGAGAGTGGCTGGTGAAGAACGGAAGAAGAACTGGTTCTCACAAGTGTAGTGCTTCCAGGAAAAGAAAGACAGAAAGACTTTCTCTATTTGGGGAAAAGATCAAAGATATAGGTATGTATAAGGTTGATTTGATGAGTTATGCTACTTGTAGCTGAGAAGGTGATGAAAAAAAGGCCCTTTTAAAAAAAACTAGACTATTCAAAAGCAATACTGTCTAGATGGGAAAACAGAATTACTGGGTCATTGACAGTAAGGACTGGGACTCTGCTTCCCTCTGTTCTGTGTTGAAAAAAACACAGATGAAATGGGACTCATTCTTCTGGTTATCTTGACCTTAATTTAGAAGGAATAGCAGAGTTTACTCTAAGATCTCAGAAGATATTCCTACCTTTCTGGCAAAATGATATTTATACAAGAGTTGACCTTGGTAGAAATGATGTAGGAATGGTGAGGCTAGTCAACCCTTAACACGAATTGCTACAGGATGCATTCCACAACGGAGGGTTGCAGCTGTGACATGGATAAAAACCATCTTTCAGTCAAACAATCATGGTGTTTGCTCCTGACATGATCTGCTGCCTCTGGTAACCAGTGGTTTGTATCACAACCCCACCCTTGCAAAAGCCCATTTTACAACAGCTACACCCACTGTCAACAATTCAGAGTTTTGTGTATGTACAGGATGGGGGAAATATCGTCAAACCTTCAATTAACTAGAATTGCATTAGAAAAGGTCATAAGCCATATCAGATGCCTCTAAAGGACAAAAAAAGGCTCAGCCAATGTTATTTCTCTCCATTTAAGCTTCTATTCTCTATTAGAACATAACTAGAGTTTTAGACCTCTAACTAGTTATAATAGGATTAATTATTAATATCATACTAGTAATATGATTAATAAAAAGACTAAAAATACGGATAATAACTTCACAAGACCATCTGAGACACAGGATAGTACTGAAAAAACTATTTCATTTTCAAAGCAAAGAAATTCTAAGCTTCTCTAGCTAGTCAAAGATTATGTGATTCACAACAGAAGCGCATCACAGAGACTTTTTATAATGTGTCCAAAATGGAACACCAATACATGACAAATATTATCCAGGAATTATTGTCATGTGCTTTAGGTAGCTATTTCTTATTTCTTGTTCAGCAATGAATAGCAAAATGCTTCTGAGCTTTTAAGTAAAATTTATTTAAGTGGCTGGAAGAAGTTCTCACTTTGTAATGCTATTAATATAGTTATCCAGTTTTCTTTGAGGTGCTCTCCATAATCTGAAGAGCTAGAAATTGTATACTTAGGTAATGACTCTCCATAAAATAAATGTATGTATTCAGAAGGAATATCAGCAAAAAATAAATGCAAATTGAATGGAAAAATCTTTAGGGCAATTAAGTAGCTTGCAAAAAAAAAAATTAATTTCTATTTTACTTCCTAATTTTATTTAAAAAAAACCCCTTCTTATTTGAGGAATTATTAGAAAATAATGTTTTAAGAGCCTACTTAAATCTTTCATTCACTTTCTTTTATATACTGTACATATGCTTTAATATCTGCACATTCCAAGACATTCCACTTCTGGATAAGAACAGATAGCCCACGGAAGTTTTAAAGATGTTTCTTGCTCAAGTATCTGAAATAATTATCAAGAACCATAAGAGTATTACTTGGTTCTTTCAAGGAATTTCCAGACAACTGTCAAAAACCAGGAGTACTAATGAACTTACAAAAACATCAAATATGAATGGGCGCGCAAGCTATACCACACCTTTGAATTTTTTGAAGTGTATAACCACTCATAAATCTGTGCAGCTAGAGAATATAATATGCCTATGAATATATTTTGTCCCAAGTGCAACAAATAACTGAAACATATTCTGAATGTTCCTAGTGGGATGATACAGAAAGTTGGTCTTGTGCTCTACACAACTCAAAATTATATGTAAATAATAGTTTTATCTTCAAATATGCAGTCTGCTTTTGAAGTTCCTGTATTAGATTTTTATTTTATGGCTTGCTTTCAATAAGCTTCATAGGAGTATCCTACATAGTTGACAAAATATTTTCAAAATGTGCCCTTTTTTAATGTTCTTGTCTCAGAAGTATTTTATGTATGTCATCACAGTAACCTCTTTCTTAGAACATACAAATCTTTACTCTGCTAACTTTATTATTAGCATGATCAATCAATGCATTCCTTTTTTTATACATTGCATGAAGTTCCAAATCATAAAGACAGACTCTTCTTACTTAATATGCTGAATGCAAAGCTGTTTTGCTTGTTTGCTTAGACTTTTCAAAATTCTCTTGAGGAAACAGCCTGATCAAACCAAATTCTTGACTAACGAAACCTGTGCAATTTCAGGAACTGAAAAGGGTTGCACACATCTAAACTCAGCTTAGATTATGCCACTGACTCATATCCTTCCCTTGTCAAATTCAAGTCTCATAAAAGCTATCACGACACCCCAAGAAGTGAGTTGTAATTTAGTTTTACCTGCTTCATGTCCAGTGGTTTCATCCTACTGAAATGCAAGCTTTCTAGATTGTCCTTCTTATCCATTTTGAACTTGTATTCTTATGTGTGTTCCTATTTTTCTGTTCAGTGGATTTCATAAGTGGTAACAGAAGACATGAGATACTTGGGGACCGGACTCTCCACCAAAACACTGAATTTTGGCTCCTCAACACTATCTTGCTTTCATTTTATATGACATGATACATTAACTTTCAAACCACATCAATTTCAATGAAAAAAAAAAAAAAAGTTGTGTGTGAAATCTTTAGCTAGGTTTAATTTTCTTCCTGTGTCTGCTGAAATTTTACTACATAATGAAAAAATATGAAACACAAGTAAAGGAAAAGAGACAGCCCAATCTCACCATCACTTGATGAACCAGAGAAATTTTGTTATGTGACAATAGGATCATCATCACATGTGAGAGCTTTCATCCACAAGTATGAAACAACTGTGTTATCTTACCACCTTGACAAATTCCATTTATATTACATTTTCCTCAGGAATCAAAAAGAATTGTGTATATAAAAAACCCCCGAACCTAAAAGTTTAAGGACCAGCTGCTTCTGTTTAAGGCCAACCGTTTCAGTATTGATGCAGCATAGCTAGGGCATGATGTCATTTGAAAGGCCAGCAGAATATACCCTAGCTGATCTTAAAAATATGTAAGGGTCTAGCCTCTCCTCTCTGAGTGTGCCTAATTCCCATCAGTGGGGAAGGGAGTTGCTCACATGCAGAAAAGAAGATAGACTAAATGACCATAGTGAATAGAGAGGTGTGTAAATTCTCCTAAAGAAAGAGACCACTATTTTCTTAATATTTACTTGTTCTTCCTACAACATAGCAGCTAGTTTTAAAAACTGAAGAGAAGAAGGAATAGTCTTCTAATGCTTCCTGTTTGCTTTTATATGACCCTGTGGGGATGGAAATAATTCTGTTACTCCAATTCTTCTGTTCTCTCTCTCCGTCCATTCATCCAACCATCCATTCACCCCTTCCCCTCTTTCCTAGTTCTATGGTTTTATATGCATGCATGGAGATATTTTTATTGTATATAATTTACTATATATTTATTAGAAGCTTTTCTTGTTTTAAATGTTGCAGGGGGAAGAAAATAAATGGAATAAAAGCTGCAGCTTACAAACAGAAGTACAATACATATGTTCACAGGCACACAGAAAGAAAAATGACATTTATTATCTAGCTAGTCACTGAAGAGGATGGCACAACATACATTATTCTGAATGTCAAGCAACAATGAAAATCTTAAAGTGATAAAACTCTCTCAATGTCATGGGAATACAATTGTCACTTGTCATTACTGTGCATCTCTCTGTTTCTTCATATATACTAAGCTGCCTATTTTTACATAATTCAACACATTTAATAATGTAGAAAATCAATTAATATTTACTGACCTGTCTCTGCTTCTTCGTGATGGGAACGCAGCATTACAGCCAGCCACTGTGCAGACATGCATCTCTTTTAAATGAACATTTCTGTAGTGAAGCTTCACACTGTAGGAACTCTTGAAACTTTTCTTGCACACATAGCAGATCTTGGGGTCTGGGCTGGAACACATTTCACCTTCTGGGGAGAACTTCTGAGGGCTGCTGTAGCTGAATGTAGAAGCAAAACTTTCATGAAGGGCAGCCATACTGGCACTGCCTCCATTGTACAGTCCATATTGGCTCATGTAGAACATATCATATGTAGGGTCTGTGTACTCTTCCTTCACCTTAATGACATCATGGTTGGAAGAGTCATTGTGGTTTTCATCTGGTCTGTCACTGTGCATCATAGATTTTTCACCAGGTTCGTGGAGGCGATCATCACCTTCCATGGATTCCTCACACAGTTTGGGCTCTGATGACTCTGACTCATTTTCATAGTCTCTCTCATGCTCCTGGTCTTCTGATGTCATGCTGTCTGCCCTTATTATGTCTGGTCTGGAAATGCATCTGCTTCTGTCACTTTTGGAAAAGTCTTTCACAGACAGGCCAGGACTCATTTCCTCCTGAGAATGGCAGTGATTGTCATGACCAATGTCATTCACCATTGTGCTGCTGTCATTCACCTCTTCATCTTCATCATCAAACTCATCGGCAGTATCTATAACTTCCTTTTCAATTTTAACTGGCATGCTTGACTTCCTTGGCTTCTTCTTGGGGGCAAGATCAGCATTAGGCTCTGGGGTGGGCATCAGCACTGAAGGTACTGATGACTCTGAAGGAGGAGGAGGATGCTGCTCCATGCCACTCACTGCTGGTATTATTGGACTGGTAGGGAGTGAGGTTGGAGGACTCACCATCTCACCAGGAGTAAGTAAATTTCTGTAAAAAGGAGGAACAGGTTGGACAGTCTTTAAAGCTGGAAACACCAGCTGACTGGAAAGAGGGTTCTGTAGTACAGGATCTAGAGGGGGAGTGGTAAACCCCATCGGTGGACGCCCAGGACTTGTTAAAGTTAGGTTGGATTTTGTACTGGCTATGACTGGAGTAGCAGCACCTGATGTAGCACGAATTAGATCTTTGTCGCGGTTATTCCTTAGCATAGGCATGTGGAGGCGGGGATTTGGGTTAGCACTGTGGCGGTTGCGGCTTCTGAGAGAGCTGAAGACCATGTTGCAGCCCTCAATAGTGCACCGGTGCTTGATTTTCAGGTGAACGGCATTGTAGTGGATTTTAAGAGTACCTTTGTCATAGAAAGTTTTGCCACATGCATTGCAAAACACTCTTCCTTTCCTGGAGGCTGACCCCATTCTCCTCATTCTGTGAATGCGGAATGAGCTCTTAGTGTGTTCTGTTTTTGATAAATCATTGACAGGTGTAGGCGTCTGAACGGGAGAGACACAGGCTGGCTCAGTTTTGGGCTCAACATTCGTGATGCTGGTCAAAGCATTCCTTTTTTTGCTGGATGTTTGCTCATTCTTGAAAGGTGTAGGGGAAACTTCAGATTCACTGCTTTCATTATATTCATTTTGGGTCGTAAGGCTTGGTTCACGGAGCCTCATTGCTGGCTGTTCCAGCAGGAGGCCGTTTGGAGGCAGCCCCAGCAGCGGAGCAGAGACTGGATTTATGTACTGGAATGGAAGCAGGAATGCAAGGCTATTTGGGATGTTTTCAAAATGATGAATGCTGGAAGGGTTGCTATTCTCCAGGTGAGCAAGGAGACTTGGGCTCCTGGTGCGATTATTGCTTTCAATAAAAGTCCTTATATCTGAATCTGTCTTTGAAGACGGCACAGCCACAGCCTGCCCTTCTTTTTCTTGAATTGCCATCAGCTCCACGATGGATTTGGTTTCTCCAAATCTCAGGAACTGTTGAAGGGTAATGATCTCTTCTTCCCTGGACATGATGGCCCAGCGGTCCAGCACCTTGCCTGCAGCATCCTAGAGGCCGTATCAAAGAAACAACAAAGAAAAACACAAGAAAAAACTTAATGATTCTGCATAGTTATTGAATTCAATAGAAGGTGTTGTGCTGCCTGAACATGAAACGCTAAGCTCAAAAAACCAACATGCAAACAGCGTAATAGCACTTAACCAAAAAATGCAAACTTTCCAGCCATGCAAATATAGTAATTAGAGTCACAGTCAGAGGAACAGAATGAGTTTAATAATGTCAGAGCAAACAAAATGTAAACCACAGGACTCTGTGATCTAAAATGCTTTCAACACTTTAACAACGGTGATCCATGTACAATGCTACTGTTAGCATACACTAGCATAAAACATGAACTGTTGCTGTGCACTCCATTGTAAAATACAGAAAATTGTACCTTAAGTGCTATTAAATGGTGACACTATAAGGAAGAACTAAATAAATGCATTAGATAGATTTGGCTCTTAAACATAAGCAGATATATGACTGAAGTCACTCATGGGCCATCTCACAAGAAATTTTGATGCAAGGTAAGAAGTCTTAATAGCACATAACACTTGTACCTCCCCCCTTTTTTTTTTTTTTTTTTTTTTTTTTACCCATGACAGCAATACTGAAAAACATATGCATTATACACTTGCATCAAAAGGCAGAAAGTGGGGCACTGGTTTGAAGCATAACTGGACTATTACTGGCAATTGATTGTAAGCTTACAATCTTGGTATAGCTTGGATTTAAGAGATTACTTTCTTGCAGCCTTGTTATAAATGACAGTTAAAACTATGTAGAAAGTAAGCATCTGATGGATGTAGATAGCATAAATGTGTAAAAATGTTGTCTCTTAACATTGCCTTCTGATAGCAAGGGAAAAATCCAGAGAGAATACACATCAGTAATCACTAGACTATCTGTTGTTAAATATACATTAAAAAGCATTTCACACTTTCATTTTTGCTAGTAAGCATGAGATTTGCCTGAAGGTAGGACTTAAAAATTCTGCTATGTAATGTCAGGCAATCCATTCCAGCATATATTGATAAAAACACATTAAAATACTTACATAATGAATACATCATTTTATTGGCATCTTTCCTTTTGGGCAAATGCTGGACATAACATCAGCACAGTATCTATAACCAACAAGCACTGATGCAGGCCATCAAACCAGAATTATTCCAATGCTTCCTCATGCATTAAACAGTTTGAAAGCCTTGCAAGATAGTGTCTCTGATTTTTTGAAATCTTGAATCTCAGCTTCAGAACATTATCCAACTACACACTATTGCAAAAACCACCAGCTCTTGTTTGATTATGAAGCCTGCAAACACCTTTCCTTTTTTTCCCCAAGTCTTATTTATTTGTTTTATTATCTTCAGTCTTCAAAGGATTGATTTTTCTCTCCCTTCACATGTTCTAGAGTACTGGAAAAAGCAATTTGCCCAAAATAGTAAAGCATATATTTATTTGATTACAGCTGGTTTTATTATTTCAGTTCTGATCTGTGTCACCCCTCTGAATTCAAAGTTAATGATGAAGATCAATGTCACGTATGTTTCAGTACCTTAGATATGACTGTAAAACCTTTAGAAAGTCTCCACACATGACCACTCACCATCAAACCTTACCAGACTATGAAACCCCCAACAGCAATTAATTATGGAAAATCCTACCCAGCTGACCCAGATGGAAAGCCCCAGAAACCATCCCTCTGCAGAAAACGTTCAGCACGTATTTACACAGTGACGAAGGAAACACCATGATGCAGATGCTGGTCCTGGCTCGCAGCATCAGTCAGGAAATGTCCCCACCATTGAACACCATTATGCACTGTGGACATATCTAATTTCTATGCTCTCCCAGTTCTACCTGTCTGACAGTGGTATTTTATAGGCAGTCAGTGCTATCTAGTAGAAATCACTCAGAACATCAAAAAACCCCACCCAACCACAAAACAAAGTGAAACAAAACAAAATCAATGGGGTGAGGGGAGGGAGAAAAAACCACCACTGCCTCAAACAAACAATTCAAGGACAGGTTCATATTTTAAACCTCTAGAATTATATTTTTCCCATTCAACTAACTTTGGCTAATCTCCCCACAAGTGTGACCTAGAGCTTCTTAGATCTACTTCTACAACATCCAGCCAGACATATTGGTTCTATGTTTGTGTAACTCCTACCTGAAACTGCAAACCTGGTTCAGATTTTGGCCTCCAGGCCTTCGTTGTCACCTCTGACCCAGCCTATACACACACACTTCTAATCCCAAGCCACAAGATTTCATTCCTTCTAACTGTAGCTTGCACTGTTTGAAGATGGAAATAACATTGTCTAATTTACGCTGCTTACATGTATTGAATTAGGATTCCTGTCTGCAGCCAGCTGCAGGCTGCTTTGTAATGTACTACTGGTAGTAATTTGTTTTGTTTTTGCTTTAATTTGTAAATCACTCACAGGCTTATGTAACAGATGGATGCTTTACAAAAATGGATATTTAAGTAAATAAAAATTAAATACAGCCAGCACGACAATAACTCATGAGAATAGGAGGTACAGACCCTGTAACAGACTCCCATACGTAAGTGGAAGGTGGTATCACACAGTCCCCTGCCTGGCAGCAGAGCACCCAGCACTTTCAGTGCATAGAAAAGGCAGACATCGTCTAAATGTGGGGACTCCCAATATACTTTTGGGGAGTTATTCCACTGCTTAACTCAAAGAAGCCAGCAGTTGGCTACATAGAATCATAGAATGGTTTGGGCTGGAAAGGACCTCAAAGATGATCAAGTTC